AAGGATAAATGTCCCTGTCTCATTAACAGATAATTGTCCCTGTCTCATTAATTTTAACAGATGATTGTCAAAGTTTCATTCACAAATGATTGTCCTAGGCCAATTTCGGAGATAGGTGGTTGATATTGAGCACAATTTAATATTAAACACACCTTATATATGTGTGCCTTGCTAGTGAACTGTGTTGATATCAACAGTTAAGAGAAATGGTTGGATATTTTCAATATATTTATCTTGTTGTTTTGATTGACATTCTGGCAACTGGAACCTGCTTAGATTTATGCTTACAAGGTAGCCTACCAAATATAGATGGGCCACCTTTACAATCTTGGAAGTTGTCATGCAAGCCTGGAAATCAGACACCTGTCACAGACACAATTTCTCTGGTGCCTGTTGATTTGTCTAGCATTGTTTTTTAATATCATTTATAGTACATGTCCGACACAAAATGTCAGGTACCCCTAGTTCTAATTGTGCCTGACATTTTATTAGGTACACAAATAAAATCATTAATTTAGGATCTGGAGACCTACGAATCTATAACACAACATTAGTAAGTTAATTCACACTACACATCATATAAATTTACGAATGTGCAAAATTTGACAAGACACAAGCTAATATTATTATGGTGAACTGTGCTTCAATAAAACTAAATGAAGTTATATATAGTGTATATGCAGGGGTATCTACGTTTACTATACACAAGGAGAGAGAAAAATGAAAGTAGAAAAGCTAAAGTGAAACTAAACTAGTAGTAGTAGTAGTGTTATTAAGAAAGTGCATCACGACATCCAACATTTACAATGTCGCTTACTTTTATCGGCGTCGCTTTGTGAACGTAGAAGGAACTCCAGCCCTGATTGGTTGGCATCGAAGGTCAAACCAAGAGGGTTGAAAGTTGGTGCTAGGCTGTTGTTACCAAGACTACCAGCAAAAAATTCCACGCCGCTACCACCTGCGAGACGTCGGGCATGCTCAGAAGCAGCTAGCCACCAATCAGCCCCACCTATTGAGTAGTGATGTAATAAGAGTGTTACATACAACCCATAATACTACACCAATATGACATGCATATATAACATACAAATACATCAACAATCAGCAAATAGTTTCCGTGACATATTTTAATTTAAAAACAGAAGTTACAAGCTTGTGTAGCATACAGTGTGTTACATGTTTGTCAAATTGTGTGAACAGTCCCGCACAGAATTCAAGAATACAGTCAGAGCGAAATAAACAGATAATGTAAAAAAAAAAAACACTTGCCTACCATTCGGAATATTTTTAGTCATATGTAAGCTACATGTAGACGAGATAAGGTCTACCACTGTCCTACCATTGGGAATATTCTTAGTGGAGTCATATATAAGCTACATGTAGCAATATGGCCTATCATTCGGAATATTCTTAGTCACATGTCTTTTACATGTAGCAATAAGGTCCATCCTTTCTATTCCCCATAAATTATTATCTAGCTACACTGGCCTACAGCTTATAACTTTAGTTACATCTGCTAATCAATATAACCGTCTGTAAAATTTTTAGAGTAGCCTCCCCTTTGACCACAAAGTGGCACAAAGCACTTGGGCAAGACTGCCTTATCACTGCACCTCAGTTGTTAAAAAATGGCCGTAATTGATGGAGAGATGTTAGGATGGCAAACACACTAACACTGTTGTTATACATAATTGTCACACATTATAATTTGAGTGTTCAGAACACTGTGTCATATGATGTATGCATGTACATAACTAGCAAGCAGCCGTTCAAGTGGAGAGACAGAGAGAGATAGAGAGAGACAGAGAAATGGGTTTAACGTCCACTCGACACAAACTAGGTCATTTTGGAACTAACATATGGTTCAATTTTATTTCAATAATTCACTTGCACGTAGGTGTCTTTAGTAGCGGGAGGGAACAAGAGGACCCGGAAAAAACCCACAAGGTTGGACAGGCGACGCTACTCCTTGTCACGTACAACCAAGGAATCGAAAGCACGCCAGTTGACTCAATGACAGACCCTATCATGCAGCGCACACCATTCGGCCATCAAACACCCCCAGTCAAATGGATATTATTATGAATGTAATGATAGAGAAAACATCTCATAAAAACAGGTTCAATGATGAATAATCATTTGCATATCGCTTCCCAGTGATAAGAGTAACAGAATAAGATCCACTGCGAAGTGGTTAAATCGAATGTAGGCCTACCCATAACTGTATGAATAACCAATCTCAACCAGTAAGGCTAGTAACATACAACAGAGAGAGAGAGGGAAGGGGAAATGTGTTTTAACGTTCACTCGACACAATTATTAGGTCATTTCGGGACTGACATATGGTTCAATTTTATTTCAGTGGGAGAAAACCCATGAGGTTGGACAGGCGACCCTACTCCTTGTCACGTACAACCGGGGATTCGAAACCACACCAGTTGACTCAATGACAGGCTTTATGATACAGCACGCACATGCTAACCATTCGGTCATCCAACCCCCCAGCGTGGATTAAAGGGACACTATGGGAGATTAGATAAAGAGCTGGCAGTTCTCACTATAATAGTTAAAAAATAGATAATAAATGTAAAGGGAATATGTTGAAAATTTCAGCAGCCAAATTGATCCACTCTGAACTGAGATATTAGTGATTGAATTTTAGGCCTAGCCTCAATCATCATTACTAAAGTCAGTACGATAAAAACAGTCTCGATTATCCATTTTTGGATTTAATCATCAATGAGCGTTCAAATCCAGTGAATATCTGACACATAAGATGGCAGCGAGAGTTGATAAAGGTCTTGTCAAGTTAATAAATGTCTAATTAATAGTTTATATAACATTTCAGGCCTAAAGAAAGACCTGAAATAGGCAGATTTAGATCTTGCATAATGTGTGTTTAAATAATAAATATAGTTTATGTCTATTTGATATCTGTGTCATTGGTTTAATGATTCACGTGGGTTAAGACATAAGAAATTAAAAAACTTACACACGGTTAGTGCTAAATGATAAGGCCAGCTCAATTTTTCGTCAAGGGTCACGAGATGTAAACAGGGCTAGCACTAATCCCAACCCTAACCCTAACCCTGGACCTAGACCCAATGCTTACCCTAACTCTAACCTACAATCTCGCCAACAATCACATGCCCTAACCTTATTTACATCTCAACAACCTTGACAAAAATTGAGCTGGCCTTAACAAATAGATTTAGCACCTTACACATAGGCCAGAGACACATTAATAATCTTTTAATAAAAACTGAATGAGTGGGTTTCATCCTAATTAGAAATCTTTTATTTAAATATGAGCTTTCTATTAAACCAGGAAAAAACTAATTCTAAACACATATAGCGAGAGAGAGAGAGAGAGAGAGCGCTTAATGTCCACTCACACAAACTAGGTCATTCCGGGACTAATATATAGTTTAATGTTATTTCAATAATACGCTTGCATGTAGGGGTCTTTAGCAGTTGGAGGAAACCGGAGGACCAGGAGAAAACCCGCGAGGTTGGACAGGCGACCCTACTCCTTGTCATGTACAATCGGGGAATCAAAACCACGCCAGTTGACTCAATGACAGACCTTATGATACAGCGCGCAAATGCTAACCATTCAGCCATCCAACCCCCTTAACTTCATAGCATAATGTAAATTAGAAATGAAATGGGGTTTAACATCCTACTGTTCTGCTCCAACTGGGCTAATGAAGACGGGCATACGCCATACACTATGCTTTGAGGCAAATTTTTCCTGGAAAGAAGCGCTACGGCCTACTCTTATATCGAATTCTGAACGACTAGAATACGCCCCGGAAAATCCCGATGAATTTTTTCAGCAACACTGGGATCGAACCTACGACCTGCAGGCTAGAGGTAATTTAGACAAAATAGTAAAGTTCTCTAGTATTACACATGAATATAAAAATCTTAATAGTCCAACTATAAAAACGGTAATTCATGACAGACAAGAAATTAATTTTCTCTCATGAATTACCGATCGTAGCCATGTTTGGAAACTATCATTTTTCTAAAATGCACTATTTTTCCGGCGTGTAAAATGACCGATTGGTCAGATCTAGTTTGGGTCATTTTCCATAGCCCTTGGTCTCGACCGGCATATATACGGCCGACATGGAACCCGTGCATGAACCTACTCAATTAAAAGAATCTGATCGTCACTTGATGGATTGTGAAATCCTTGCAAACTACAATACTGTGAAAGATAAATCTTTAAAAGAAACATCAGTTCAAAGATTGGCACATTGGAACATTCCAAGTGGCTAATTGGATCATTCCAATCAAGTGGCTTATTGAACTTTTCCAAGTGGCTAATTGGACCATTCCAAGTGGCAAATTGGACCATTCCAAGTGGCAAATTGGACCATTCCAAGTGGCAAATTGGACCATTCCAATTAAGTGGAACATTGGACTGTTTCAATCATGTAGCTTACTGAACTTTTCCAAGTGGCACATTGGACCATTAAAGGAAAGGGCACATTGGACCATTCCAAGGAAGTGGCACATTGAACAATTTCAAGGAAGTGGCACATTGAACCAATCCAACTGGCATTTTGAACCAATCCAACTGGCATGTTGAACCAGTCCAACTGGCATGTTGAACCAATCCAACTGGAACAAGGAACCAATCCATCTGGAATATTAAACCAATCCATCTGGCACATTGAACCAATCCAACTGGCACATTGAACCAGTCCAACTGGCACATTGAACCAAACCAACTGGCATATTGCCCCTCATGATCTTTTATAAAATATAATTAATTTTACTCCAAATATCAACAGCTTGCAGCTTGCAGATATCAAAATAGAATCAAAAATCTCATTAATGTAACCAATGCTATTTTTCTTAATTTATATGGTGCATCTAAAGTCATACGATTAATACTGGGCACATTGAACATAAAACATTGGCCACCCCGGATAAAAACAATGCTGAACCCCTATCATTAATTATTTCAAAAAAATAACATGTCTTACCTGCAGCTGGATTGAAAGCAGGATTTAATAAAGGGCTTGACAGGGCTCCGAGTCCACCAAATAATGAAGGTGCGAACATAGGCTGACGTCCGAGCAGAGAAAAAGCACTGGGAAGATGAGCTAAAGAAGGAAATGGCAGACCTCCAGCCATTGATGTGGGTGGTGGACCTATAAAACAAAACAAAACAATAATATAAATAACTGAATTGAGAACTAATTTGGGTAAAAAAATATATTGATTTAATCTAAGAAGATGGAATGCCACTTATCTAGAAAGTGGAAATAATGCCACTTACCCAGAAGATAAGAAATAACGTTACTTACCCAGAAGATAGAAATAAAGCCACTTACCCAGAAGGTGGAAATAATGCTATTTACCCAGAAGTTGAAAGTAATAGCATTTACCCAAGATAGAAAGAATGTTACTTACCAAGAAAATGGATAGAATGTCACTTACACAGAAGGTGGAAATAATGCCACTTACCCAGAAGATGGAAAAAATGCCAAGCACCCAGAAAGTGGAGATTATGCCACTTACCTCGAAAGTGGAGATTATTCCACTTACCTAGGAAGCGGAAATTATGCCACTTACCCAGAAGATAGAAAGAACATCACTTACCCAGAAGATGGAAATAATGCCACTTACTCAGAAGATAGAAAGAATGTCAAATTCCAAGAAGAATGAAAGAAAGATAGCTAGCTACCCAAAAGATGCCACTTTCCCAGAAGATGAAAAGAATGTCACTTACCCAGAAGATGATTAGTGGGATCAAATAGGCCATGGCCAGGGCTTGGGGGAGGATCTTCTTTGCTCATAGCATTGATAACGATTTCTTAGCACTGAAATACAAATAGAATACATATAAATATATTAGGTACCAACAACAATACAACATGCGTGAGAGAAAGAGAGAGAAATGGGGTTTAACGTCCACTCATCACAAACTAGGTCATTTCGTGACTAACATATGGTTTAATTTTATTTCAATAATTCACTAGCGCGTAGGGGTCTTTAGCAGTGGGAGGAAACTGGAGAAAACCCACGAGGTTGGACAGACGACCCTACTCCTTGTCACATACAACCGAGGAATCGAAACCACCCCAGTTTACTCAATGAAAGACTTCATGATACAGCTCACACAGCTAACCATTTAGCCATCCAACCCCCCAAAACATGCCTTTCCACATACAAGGTGGCTAATGGTTTAACAAATGCACTTTAGATCATAAGGTCTGTCATTACGTCAAGTGGCATGGGTTCGATCCCAAGCACGTATAAGACAAAGAGTACAGTCACCTGTACACCCTCGTGGGTTTCTCCAAATCCGTTATAGATTCCTTCTACTTCTAAAGACTCTTATTATGGCAAGTAATTTATTAAAATAAAATTGAACAATGTGGACTTTAAACCCTCTCTCTCTCTCTCTCTCTCTCTCTCTCTTCCATTCCATCTCTCTCTCTCTTTCATCTTTCTCTCCCCTTCTCTCTCTTCCCTTTCTCTCCATATACAGGCTCTGCCCGAAAAAAGTCGCTATATTGTCTTGTCATTTTCTCTGGCACAAATTAGGTTTTTTTATTAGTGTTTTCAATGTTATTTATAATACATGGCGGCCACAAAGTTCAAAATGGCAGGTGTTCTTTCATTATTACAAGACATTTTGTCAGGAACAACTAAAACCATTATTTCTTCGTCTGCTTATCTTAAAAGGGTTGGGTGATGGAGATAACATCAGACATTATGCGCAATTGAAATAAAATTGAACCATGTGTTAGTCACGAAATGACCTAGTTTGCGTTGAGTAGAGTTAAACCCCATAATACACCTCTCTCTCTCTCTCTCTCACTCTCATGAAATTAAGAATTTTGTATTCATTGAGAAAATGCATGTTTACACTAAGATACCCCACCACAAAGCCTGATTATAGAATCAAGAGGGAGACAGAGCCCATGTTGATGATGGGCAACATCTCAAAAAAAAGAAATGTGACGATAAAATTTAATTTTGGTGATAATTGTGGCGATAATTTTGGGATAAATGGCGATCCTTTTTGAGAAGCAGCAGAAACAAAATCTTAAAAATAAATTTCTAATAATATTTCATCTTAGACTACTGACCATTACATTGAGTGTCGGGCACAATAACGTGGCAGACGACTATAAATTAATCAACTAGCTGATAATCCAGAAGCTATCAATATGTAATACTAATCAATTGTCTTGGATTAATGGTTTGAGTTGAATAATAATTATCAATGATAAAGTCTATCTCAAGTCATTATTAACACATCATAATTAATCCAAGCAAATAGTAGGTGATTGTCCGCGTGGTTAAAAGGGCTAATCATAGGCTTTGATATTCTAACAAGACAACTCATTGATCAACATGACGTGCCCTTCGACAAGTTTTTAAAGGTACAGGGATAGATAATCTCCGTGTTTTTGGTTATTAACAATCAAATTCTACATTATTAAAGTATTATGAATGGTTTATGAGGTATGCTAGAGCAGTGATTCTCAATCAGTGTGCTACGAGATCTTCCTAAATGTGCCGCGAAATTTTGAACAGCACACTAAGAAATTTTTTCAGTAAAGAAGCCAGCTAATTGATAAAATTCGAAACACTGTAATAAAGTAAGTTTATAGCTGTGTTTTTCTTTTTTTAGTTTGAGTCATTCTATGTGTCTATGACTGGTCTGTCTCACAGTTTTATGCCATCTATGACTTGCCATGTTTTTATTTTGCAAAATTCAAATATTTTTCATACATATTTAGACAGGTGTGCCGCTATTTTTTCATGTGTTCCAAGGTGTGCCTTTGGCAAAAAAAAGGTTGACACTTTTAATTGTATACAAAAAAAATAAGTAAATTTCTTTTCCATGGAAACACAAAAATTATTAAATAAGAGAATTTTCTTGTAAGCTGATATAATTATGTTGATGTGTTTACAACAGTCAACAGAAGTGAGCGCTACCTATGAGTTTCTCTGAAATCTTTTGATGGGCCTATTCTTAATCAGGTGGGTTGGATGGTCGAATGGTTAGCATGTGCGTGCTGTATCATAAGGTCTATCATTGAGTCAACTGGCATGGTTTCTATTCCCCAGTTGTACGTGACAACAAGGAGTAGGGTCTCCAGTCCAACCTCGTGGGTTCTCTTAACTCTCTCTCTCTCTCTCTCTCTCTCTCTCTTTAATCTGATTAAATCCAAACAGGTAGACTATCTACCTTTGATATTTTGTACTGATACAGCTAATGATGACAGGTATAAAAATTTAATCATTGGGATGTTTTTAATCATAATAAGTATTGTACACTTAAAGACACATTATTGGAGATTAGATAAAGAGCTGGCAGTTCTCACTATAATAGTTAAAAACTTGATAATGTAAAGGAAATTTGCTGAAATTTCAGTCAAATTGATCCACTCTGAACCGAGAATTTAGCGATTGAATTTGGGCCTATCCTCGATCATCATTACTAAAGTCGGTACGATAAAATATATACTCTTGATTACCCATTTCTTGATTTAATCATGAATGAGCGTTGAGCAGCAAATCTGATCCTAATCCAGTAAACGTCGCAGGCTAACCATGACATCAAGAGTAGATTATGGTCTTTATCAGTTAATTAATGTCTAATTAATAATTTAGATAACATTTCAGGCCTAAAGAAAGGTCTGCAATAGACAGATTTAGCTCTTGCATAATGTTTTTTTAACCATACAAACCTTATTTTTTTTCCTTTCAAGATTTTCCGATATATTCATTATGTTTTCAAGACGAAAAAACTAAACCATGTAAAGAAGAAAATATGATTATACTTTGAAATACAATTAAACTTTCATTTATCAAAAAGTGTTTGACAGTTTTCATGTATCCTGATATAGAAACCCTTTGTATGTTTTAGGATTTGATTTGCCGAATAAAATAAATTTACAATGGTCTTGTCATGTTAATAATTAATGTCGAATTAATAATTTAGGCCCAAAGAAAGATCTGCAATAGGCAGATTTAGCTCTAAGTTATAAACCTATAACGGTAAATCTCTTTGATCTTTGGGGTATATTCTATATTTCTAGGCCCGGAATAACTTGTGGTCTGAAAGTCGGGGGCGGCTTTGAATATATACTGGGGAATTTGAGGTTATTCTTCTGAAATTTTTTCTTTAAATCTCTGACGTGATTTTTCATCGAGGGAAGGCTTTTTATTTCCATAAGAAAACATAAGGTTTTTCTTGCTGGAATTCTGGGACATTCTCATTTTACGCACATGTAAACATAGACGGTTTATAAGCAAGATAAAGTCCTCGATTTCGGTTATGCTGGGGAAGAAAGACTTTAGAAAAAAACCCTTGACAGAAAAACATTGGTCTGTCGGCCTCGGTTATTTTCCCCAGTCTCTGCTCTATCCTACACATAATGCATGTTTAAGTTGTGGAAAATCTGATATTTGATATTTTCCTTAAAATGCAAAATATGTTCAGAAACATAAAGAAACCTGAACAGTGACACGAGACTTGGGAAATATTCTAACACAATTATTACTTTAATTCCATAGCATCGAGCATTAATTCCCTCATTCAAAACTATCAATTACAACACGATTCCTCGGGCTTTTAACTAAGACTGCAGTCATAAACCGATAAATTAGACCAAACGGAGAAATTATTGAAGAGCATCTGACCTTACTGGTGTGTAACAAGCAGAGCGAAGACCATATTCTTAGATTTCTATTGATTCGTGGTCTTAAGGAACTTCTGTACGTCAAGTATACGACAAATAAATCATAATTCCTCTACACTTCTTCTCGTCAGACCGACTGTATTTCCCCCCATAACTAATAAAATCTTATTATACCATCAACTGGTGGAGATTAGACTCTGTTTATCATGATAATATACCTTCAGGCCCTCTCTCTCTCTCTCTCTCTCCCCCTTATATTTTTATCATATGATTTCAGCAGACAGTTATTATGCAGAGAGAGTGAGAGAGAGAGAGAGAGAGAGAGAGAGGTTAATGGCCATGTATTTATCACACAATCTTATAGGCTAATCAAATGTGATATACATGTAGCATGAAAAGGGGGTGGGGAAGGAGGGAGGGAGAGAGAGAGAGAGAGAGAGAGAGAGAGAGAGAGAGAGAGAGAGAGGTTTAAGGTCCAGTATTTATCATACAGTCTTATAGGCTAATCAAATGAGATATACATGTAGTATGAAAAGGGGTGGGGAGAGAGAAAGAGAGAGAGAGAAAGAGAGAGGGAGAGAGAGAGAGGTCCAGTATTTATCACACAATCTTATAGGCTAATAAAATGAGATATACATGTAGTATGAAAAGGGGGTGGGGAGAGAGAAAGAGAGAGAGAGAGAGAGAGAGAGAGAGTGGGAGAGAGAGAGAGGGGAGGAGAGAGAGAGAGGGAGGAGAGAGAGAGAGAGAGGGAGGGGAGGAGAAGAAAGTGAGGGAGAGAGATGTGTTAAACTTCACTCAATAATACAAAATAGGGCATTTCAAAACCAACAAATGGAATTTGTTGGAGACGCATCTGTCCGAATAAAATTTCCCTCATAGTACACTTAATGGTGTAGGAGCATCTTTGTTCCACCAGTTTGTGCTTAATAGCAGAACAGTAAACACCACGTTATTTCATTTCATGTCTTTTTTACAGTGCGCACCTGCTAACCATTCAGCCATCCAACCCCCCATATGGACATAGAGGGTACCAGTATTATTCTTTTACAGTAAGATATTTAAAAAGTTGTTTCTTGAAAAAGTTTAAAGATACATTATGTAAGATTTAGATAAAGGGCTGGCCATTCTTGCTATAATAGTTCCAAAATAGATAATGT